TATAAATTAAGTGTGACACACATGACTAAATTAATATTTGAATAAGACTAAATATGGGTAATAATATGAATTAAAAACAGAATTAATAATAAATTAAATTAATTAATATAAATTACTTATTACCTGATTTAGTAGTGATTGGCAATTACTGCACCATTTACTGCGCCGCGTCTACTGCGTCACACAAATAAGCTGATTGGTTACAATATTTCCTCTTTCAGCAAGCAAGTCTTTAATTATCAAAGATATTGAAATGATGATAATAATTGATAATCTGATTAATATTATTACTTAATGATTCTATATCTTTTCATTAACAAGTTCCTTTGACTTCAGTTCTTAATTTATCATTTGAATTTTCTAGTGATGATGAATAATTATATCAGTATGATAAGAACTTTCCTGACCAGATGTATATTTTCATCTCTATCAGATAATTCAAGCTTTTTTCATCATTGAATTATCTTCATATTTTATATCAGTGAGTAATTTTTCTACTTTTGAAATTTCTTTTAAGCATTTTGATCAATTCAAAATCAAAGTCTAACTATTTCTTCTGGATAACAATAATTATAATTAGCTCAAGTCTGAGAAAGTAAGCAAGAGTAAGTAAGTGAACAAGTAAGAAAGTGAAAGTGAAAGTGAAAGTGAACAAGTTAATAATAATTAAGTAGACAATCTTATAAGTAATTGAACAAGCAATCAAGAAGATAGTTGAATAGGAAAGAATAAGTAAGCTTTAACTATCAATAAGATAAAGCAAGAATTTAATAATAATAAGTCTTATTTTATTTAAATATTCTTAATATTTAAATTATTCTTGAGTTATATTATAAATAAAAAAAACAAAATGCAAGTTTATTCTTAATATTTAAATTATTCTTGAGTTACATTGTAAATAAAAAAACAAAATACAAGTTTATTCTTAAAGTTCAAATTATTCTTGAATTACATTGTAAATAAAAAACAAAGCATTAAGTTTATTATTCTCAAATTACATTGTAAATAAATAATAAATGCATGATATTCTCATTCTAATCTTAAAGGTATCAAGGGCAGACTCCAGGAACTCCGGAAAGACAGAATGTGATCGGAAGTCACATGATCTGTCATTTTTTTTCTGTTTCACTTTGTTACCAGGATAATAGTAAATTGCGTAACCTCAAGTATGATGCATGAGTCCGAGAACCGATTTATGCGATACTTGCCAGCATTTGCGAAATGACTTACAGCTCAAAGCTCGTAAAGAGGAAGAGGCCCAAGATCTATTAAAGAGATATAAAGAGCATCTGATCAAAGCCAAACTGGAGAGAAATTATTATAACAAAAATACCAAGTTGGCAGAAGAACAAAGAAAACTCGTACTGACAAATGCTAAGACTCAATATTGCAGCGTTGATGCTACCGCTCATTACAGTTACGACTGAGCTCAAAATGTCCATGTTCCTCATTCCGATCAGCAAATTGGCAGTGTATTATCTTAGTGCTCGGAAGGTGCATTTGTTTGGTATCCAAGATGAAGCAGTGCGTGAGCAAATTAATTATTTTCTTGACGAGAACGAACTGCTTGGGAAAGGTCCGAACGGTACGCTTAGCTTAGTTTTCGATGGAATTAAGCAATTAAATAAAGGCGAAAAACATTTAAAAATCACTTGGGACAATGCGGGCGGACAAAACAAAAACAATACCACTCTTTGATTTTATCTGTACCTGGTAATCTGTGGTTACTATGAAAGCATTGAATTAAACTTCATGGTTCCCGGCCATACCAAATTCAAATGTGATGGTAACTTCGGACTGATCAAAAGGCTTTATCGTAAAAACCACGATGGATTGTGTAGATCACGTCATAGACGTGGTAAGAAGGTCTAGCATCGCTGGACTAAATAAAGCTCGACGTTATAATGGTGATGAAGGTTTCCAATATTACATCATAAGCCTATTTCAAAATTGCCTGGCCTGCAAAAGTTTCAACATTTCCTTTTTACCTGTGCTAACCCTCAAAGGGATGCCAACCCGCGAGGGGGAGCAAACCCGGAAAATAGTGATAAAGTTGAGACAGTTAAATTAACTGGGCTTGACTATCAAGAAGCCAAAATTCTTTGTTTAATCACATTAAGCATTCTAAGTGAAAATAAAGATTAAGAAGAATTAAAAGTCAGGCAGATCCAGAAAGTGAAGCATTGGTAAATGAAGAAACTGGACAAATTATTTACGGTGTGGTTAAAGCCCAAGAAGTCGCTAATGGGCCTTTCCAAGAATTCAAACTATTAAAAATTAGTAAATCCGAGGCTTCAAGGATCATAGAAGAAATCAAGGCTCTATCATTTCCAGTGTTGGTTCCTTCTCCTCTGAAATACGAGCGGCAAGAATATCTTTATCAGCATATTCGTCCCTTTGTCCGAGACAAATTTAAAGATGTCACTTGCCCAAAACCAACGGTACGCAGCGTAAATGAATAAGTGAAATGATTACTACGAACGACAAACGATTTTGATTTAATAATTGCTTAGGAAACTGTGCTTTTCTAAAAATGATTATAGTTCTATATGTCAGAAAAAAATGCATGACTTGTGTAAAAGCTTGTTTTCCTTTACAAAGAACTAATTTAAAAGCTGACTATCCGATCTGGGTGGAACAGTCTTTTCTTCGGTTAATCCAAGACCTAATTCCAAAGCTCATACGATCATCATGACGAAACGGCATACCGAAGACTTGCGGACCTTAACAAGAATGAACGGATATTCTGCCAGTACTAAAGGATAGTATTGCTAAACTTGAAAGGGTATATAAACCGATTGGGTACCGACTTAATATTCCAACAGGAGAATTAGCAGGACAAAACATGCCACATTTTTATATGCGAGTAGTGCCTAAGTATGGTGTAATAGACAAAGGAAGCACAGGAATTAAAGAAAATTACCAGCAAGCTACCCCCTCGCAAGAAAAAGAAATTAACGAGGCTCTTTCCCCGAATAAGGGTAACATTATTGCTGAACGAAGCAAAGTAATATCCTGGCTACGTAACTATCCTTACGAAAGCACGTTTGTCTCCTAATGTTAGCAACATAGATGATCTCATGAAATTATCAAAGAATTAATGAAAAAGTATGAAACTAAAATAAATTGTCATACTTTTTTTATTGGCTGTAATTTAGGGCAAGCAACTAAGCTCGTAGATCAAGAAAAAGGAGAAACTTCACCGATCAAAGACCGTGACCTATGTTTTACTTTCTTTCCTAAATACAAAATGGAAAGGTGATGGCTTCCAGATGAAGGTAGGCCTGTTCGAAACAACCAGCCAGTTGGCACTATGGAAAACGAACGAATAGCCGAAAAACTCCGTGACCCCGAAGGATACGCCAAAATCTGAGGCAAGAATAAAATTGAAGAAAAAAGCAATTCAAGTCAAATATCTCCTTTATGACTAATTCCAGCCATCTTGGCTACGGCCGGGATAACAGCAATGGTATGCTGGATGCTAAAGAAGCCAGCAAAAAGACATCTTTAAACTCACCGCTACAATTGCTTGATGTTCACTTTGTCTGGTTTTGTTGCAGCACGCCCCCCATATAATATTACTGAACTTATACACTCTGAGCATATACCCGAAAACATACCATCAACCGGGTATATAACTTTGTTTTTTCTTATATAATATTACTGAACTTATACACTCGAAGACATACCATTAAAGTGGGTACATATCTACCCCAAAAAAAGTGTAGTGTTCTGCCATTTTTCTTATATATATATTACGCAGATTACTACAATACTATACATTGATCACAACCCGAAATATATCATCAAAAAGTGTAGTGTTCTTCCATATATTATATATAATATTTCTGAAGATTACTACACTTGGACCTACCCGAAAACATATCGTTAAATGGATAGGCATCTTCCATTTTTCTTATAATATATTACCGAAGTTATCTACCCTGGAACATACTATTGAGCATATAATATTACCGAAGTTATATACCCAAAATATTTTCATTCATCTCACTAAAACTCGATGCATCTTTTTTTCAATATTCTCAAAATTACTTATTTTAAAAAAATCAAAACAAATTATAATCTTATTATAAATATCATTAATCTAATATATTATAAAAGTATTAAATTTTTAACTCAAAATAATTTAAATACTCTATTTATCATTATTAGAAGAAATAATAGTTAATTAAAAATATTGCTTAATATCTTATATTTGATATCTATTATCATTAAATTTATTTAACTTATCTTTAAAAAAAGTGATAATTAATAAAATATTTATGTATATTTACTAAATTTCGATTACAGAATTTACTCACAACAACAAAATCACGACATTGTATCACAGTGGGGGAGTTGGAAAAGTTAAAATATTTTTTGTATCTATTCCTATTTTTATTATTCAAAATGTAAACTTTTTGCCGTTCAGACTATTGGAACCGTAAAATGGCTTGTAATTTGAGTAACGAATTGAAGGGAAGTACTTTTTTTGTGACTTTATAGATTTGACGGTGCTAGCGCACTCAATAGTCAATCTGGCAACCAAAAGTGTTGAGAAGGTTTTTCCCAGAACGCGCAAAAACCGACAGGTAGCACCACCGCGTGTGCGTGGCTATTGAAACGTAACTGGCATACTCTATGTCTAATCTGGCAACCAGAGAGTGTTGAGAAGGTTTTTCCCAGAGCGCGCAAAACCGACAGGTAGCACCACTACGTGTGCGTGGACATAGAAATGTTGGTCGGACGAGCATCCGTAGCACTTTGTGAACTTCCTTCCTATCCAACATCTCAAAAGTGCAAACCTAATTACTTACAGTATATATAGGAGGGGAACATGCAAAACGACAAAAAATGGGAGAAGAAGGATTTAATCACGTCATTAAATCTAGAGTCTGACATACCGATATTGAATTGGAAATTGATAAGGCAGGTATTCATTAATCTTTTTGATGCATCCTAACAGCTTCTTATTCAAT